GAGAAAGGAACCCTTCTCTATTGTTGGTGGGAGTGCAGACTGGTGCAACCACTGTGGAAATCAGTATGGAAATACCTCAAAGAACTAGGGCTAGAGGTCCTATTTTATCCCGCTATCCCCCTGCTGGGTATCTTCCCCAAAGAATGTAAAGAATCATACCACAGCGATATATGTGCACCCATATTTATAGTGGCACAGTTCATAAAAGCGAAAGCTTGGAAACAGCCCAAGTGCCCATCAACTGGAAACTGCATAAAGAAAATGTAGGGTTTTTTTATAAAATGGAGTGCTACTCAGCCATAAAGAATGAGAAACTAGAGTCATTTTAGCTAAATGGATGCATATTGAGGCCATCCTCTTAAGTGAAATAGGACACACATGTGTAAATACCGAATAGTTTCTCTAGTGTGAGAAACTGAAAATGTAAATAAGGATTGAAATGAATAATTGATAATTTGAAATAGGAAAAGGTCCAAAGTTGTAGGGGTGTTAGGAGGGGAAGGGGGAAGGGAAGAAGGGAAAGGAAAAATCATGAGAAAAGAAAATAAATGGAAATAAAATTTATGTAAATAGGGAAAGGTGGAGGGGGGAAGAAAGCACAGGCCGTGGGGAAAAAATAAGAACCAAGATACATCATGTACAGGTACAAGCACCCAATGATAAATGTAAGCGCATTGTATACCTAAAATGTACCAATAAAAAAGTTTTTAAAAAAACATGTAATAGGAAAAAGGGAGAGAGACCTTCAGAAATGGGAAGAGGACCAAGAGGTAGAGAGAGCAGGGAGGTGGGAGAGGGGACGGGTATATAAAAGGAGTTAAGATGTGTTGTGTGCATGCACCAATTCTCCATGAGGAATGTCATCCTTATATACTGTGAACATGGACTAGTGAAGTTAAAATACAAAAATAAAATAGGAGTAATATAAGATTTATATATTACAATCAAGATTCCCCCTTCTCAGGCTGGAATTGTAGCAGATGAGTAGTAATCGTGGTTGATCTAAGGAATTTCATTTGATTTTCCATCCAGGATGACATTAAGAGGACCTGGCGGTAAATGAAACCTATTAAGGGCATAAAATTTCAAAAAAGCCAAGTAAAATAAAGCATTCCTTTTCAAAGCATAGATCTAAAAAGCCTGCACATTTTTCAGATCAGATAGAAATGGAAAGGCAGGTGGCTTTGCTAAATGACTGGAAGTCAGCTGATTCACCTCCAAGTAGGCTCAGAGATCCCTGACAGGTAAACTGCTAACCTAGGACTCCCTCCTCCCTCCCACACAAACAGAATCTTTGAAAGAACTCACCTTGTCAGGCGGCATTACAGTGACTGGACTAATCCTCACTTTTAGAAATTAAAAGAAGCCTTAAATTGTGATCCTCACATGTCAGGAAGAAGGGAAACTCCTCCTTTGGAGCAAAGGTAAGTTCTCCCCATGTGGCCAGAGGCAGAGACCTGGGTTCTTGAATATTTTGAATTATGCATCTGGAAAAAAGGAATGAATGAAGAGTAGTAATGATTCCCTTCCATGGATAATTTTCTTTTGTGTATTTCTAGCTGGAGTTAAAAACAAAAACTACTAGGATGTCAACTCTCCCATATATCATACCAATTTTATTGCCCAGAATAACCCTAAAATGCTGGCAAAGTATAAATTAATACAAGTCCTCTCTTCTTCTGACATGAGCCTCTTCATCTACCCATTTTCGCATCATTGAACAAACGTCTACTTAATAATCGTGTGTAGCAGTGTGAAAAGTGCTGGAGTTTGGAGGGAATTATTCAGATAGAATCAGTTATTTATGACTTCTCTCTATAAGCGTCAGAGTCTGATCGGATAAACTGGATGGAACAGTAGATAGAGAACATTGACAAGTATGTAGATTGAAGAATGGATAATTGATTAATAAAGATATAAATAGTTAAAGTAAATATAGAATATAAAATAAGTCAGAGAGCTGGGCATGCCATGCACACCTGCAATTTTAGCACCGGGAGTGTGAAGCAGATGCTCAGAGAGAACAATAAAGCTCAGAATGTCCACCAAGCCACCCAGGTAAGCTTGTTGATGGGTCTCTGGGGTCTGCGATGAGTTCCCTTAAGCCGACACTAGAAAGGAGGGCACTGAACTTTCTGAATATGGGAACTAATGAAATCTCAGATCCGCTGTTTTATAGCGGTTTGAGCTTGAGCACCAGACTTAGCTCTGAGCCCTCCCCTTGCGTTGTAGGGTCTGGAAGTCTCAGACCTACAGAGCTCCACATCTGGACCTTCCTCTTGCTTCTGTTTCTGCTCTATAGCTGCCGATTCTTATCCATAGTTCTCACATTTCGATATCTCACATTTCACATGCTCATCTTGATGAGCATCTCATCAAGGAAATGCTCAAGTGAGTCACCTTCTCTCCTTCCCAGCCACTTCCTTAGAGCAGCATGACATTGTGTGACATCTGGTTCTTTGATTCTTCTGTCACAGACACACAAGCTGCCTCTGAAGAGCAGGTGAGACCAGACTCCTGGGTATGTGGGTCATGTTCTTGAGGTTTTCATTCTGGTCCATTCCCCTTACCAGGGGCAGACAGGGGAGAGAATGGGTCATGGGCCATGGCTCTCCCCCAAGGAGGGAAGTGAGGCCACTGAGCTCTGTCATGCACAGTGCTGGCCTCTGTGCTCACTGCAGGAACAGGGCTGTCACGGAGGTGGAACCTGCACTGTGTCTGCCCGGCTCTGATGGCAATGTCCCACCTGTTGGAGGCCTGACCTGACACACTCCTCTTGCCTTGACCTAGCACATCAAGAAGGCCTAAGATTAGAAAGACAACATGGATGTGTCTCCCAGAAACAGGAGATATTAAGAAGTGGAAAGAAATCCCAAGAGACCTGGCCTGAGAGCTCCTGGTAGACTGGATTAAAGCCAGACAGCTTCCCCAGTTCCTGATCCTCGACAGGCTGGGTCCAGACAAAGAAGATCATCAATGAAGCCTACACAGCAATCTCAGCCTGACCATGCATATGTACTTCTCCTGCAGCATACGTGGAATAAATATTTGTTCCAGAATCCTCCACACAGATAAGAAAATCTGCTGGGTTCCATCCCGTCTGTAAAATGGTGTGGTATTTGCATAGAACTGAACACACACCCTACATATTTAAATCATCTCTAGATTCTTATATCCCTGATACCATGCAAATGCTGTATAAATAGGTGTCATGCTGGATTGTTTAGGATAAAATGACAAGGAAAAGATCCTGCACATCTCAACTCCGACTGTTAAAAATATTTTTGACCTGTGGTTGGCAGAGCCAGAGGATGCGGTGTGTGGACACAGAGACCCTGGAGTGTGGTCTGTGTTTATGTCTATTATACTCACATGTGCATGTATCTAGATGCTGTCCAACAGTGCTGGTCACACTTAAACAAATTCTTAATGATACAGCTGCACAGCTAGAAATGGGGCAGCCAGTTCCTGTTCAGTAATCGCATGTGGAGTGTTTATGAGGAGAACATTCAGTGTTTCTCCCCGAAGAAACACAGACCTGGTTTACATCCAAGCCCGAAGGCAGACAACACACAACACAGGCCCATGCAGACTGATTTCCAAGGGCAGTTCCCTTTGGGGCCACTCCTGTGGAAGAGGAGGACCTTGCTGGAGGCCGGAGTCCGAATTCAGGGAGCATCCCCTCAGGAAAGCATCCTCACATAGCTCTGCTGGGTATAAAATGAGCTTGATCTCGGGCAGCAGCTCAAGATGCTGCTCTCTGCATCCTTGGTCTGACTGTATTTTGTGGTGTGTCGACTCTTGCTCTGATTATGCTGAAGATCAGGTGCAGGGAAGTCAGCGTTTCGGGAAAGTGATGGCCCTGTCAGTAGCACATGTGTCAGCTGGCCCCAGAGCTGTCAGAGAACAGATTGCGGAATTACCATTAGAATACAGCAGTATGTAGCTGCAGGCAGTAAGTGCAGAGTTGGAAAGCATATGTCCCCAGCATGATATTTTAGCTTCATAAGAAGCCGTAAAGTGGAAATAAGCCAGGGGTAAGCAGCAACTGCTAACTGCTCTGTCTTCTCCGTCTCCGCCTCTTACCATATGTCTGGGTAATTCTCAGAGAAAGGGCAGGACTTCACTTCAGCTGGCTCAGAGCATTTGCCAAAAGGCCTCAAAAATGGGTGTGAGACTCTGAGGTCCCCTTGATCTCACCTGCTTTTATCATGTCCCTTGCATTGTAAAACTCTGGTTGTAAGGGGGACCATCTTTCAGTGTTGATCAATGATGGTGGAAAAGTATGAGCTTTCACAAAGTGAAGAAAAATTTCTTTTTTTTCTTTCTTTTTTTTTTTTTTTGGTACTGGGGATGAAGAAAAATTTCTTAAGGCTCCCAGTTGCCTAACCCTGGACAGCTAATATGTGTTCTCAGGGTTGAATAGAATTTCAGAAAAAGAAAGTAGTGGATGGAACTTTACATTATTCTTAGAGTCCTATCAGCTTTAAATACATATAATATTTAATTGATGCCAGCCTGATTAGCATGCCCAAGTAGGAATCCTGCATTGCTGTAGAAGAGACAAAGTCAACACACAGGGGCTCCATGGCAGGACAATCTTGTCACTGTCAGCCAAGGCTTTGAGACAGTTGGACCTGATGGAATAGCACCACCGCAAGACCTCCAGCCGGCACGTCTGTCTCCTCGGCTGAGGATGCAGGCGGAGGCACCCAGGCGTGAGGCTGTTCTTCAAAGGACCCTGGGAAGAACAGCCATCATGACAAATTTCAAGTAATGTAGATCTGACAGGGTCAGGCACTGTCCTGTGCTGTCTTTATGAAGTCACAATGTGGGATCCTGTTGCATAGAATCAGAGAGATATTACTATCTCAGTAACAGCTGCACAGACTGAATGTCAAAAGGGATCAGTTACATTTACCAATAACACAATTTTTTATTAGTCCGTGTGCAGCACATGATGTTTACAGTCCTTCTGTGGAGTTGGTTCATGGACAGAACACATTGTAATTCCCTTTTTGTACTCTCTCCCTCCCCTCCCTCCATCTCTTCATGCCTTTCTCATTTGAGAAGATCTATCTCCCTACTTCCCATTATCTCTTTTATTTCACCCTTTATTTTTAAGAGAAATCATGTGCTATTCAAGCTTGTGCGTCTGATTTATTTCACTTAATGCTATGATCTCAAGGTACATCCATTTTCCTACAGATGACTCAAGTTTGTCCTTCTTTACGGCGGAGTACTATCACGCAGATTTTTAAGGGGAAAACTAAGATCTAAATCTAGGATTCCTTATCCACATTCCAGGCTAACTCCACCAACACCATAATGCTTACTAAAATAATGAAGCAAAGTAACTGTCTGCAAAGCTATTCTTAAATAAACTAAAAATTTTGTATTTAAAAATTCCACAAATTTTCTATGTTATGATGTAGACCACACAGTATATGATTCCTATAATTTTACCACGGACATATTAGGCTAAAATTATCAGAGCAAAATACATCTGTATAAACCAGACAGCAAGTAAGACGATCACAGGGCGTTTTGGAATCATAAACTGTTAGCAGTTGATGTACGACCGGTTAGTGTTGATCCCCACTTCCTCCTCCACCTGTCACACTGCTGAGGCAAACTGGACTCGCCACCTGGCTCTGAAGGGCCTTGGGAGGGTGAAGCTGGTTCTGGTAGGTCATGGGGACCACACAGCTACCTGTTAGGCCAAGACCACAGGCCCACTCCCCCGACATGCCTGCATGAGGTCACAGTCAAAGTCAATACCATTGAAGAGGTTCAAGAGGAATCTTTTTTTTTTTAATTTTGGTAGTACTGGAACTGAACCCAGGGCCTTTGCACTGAGCTACATCCACAGCCCTTTTAAAATTTTGAAACAGGGTTTTGATAAGTTGCCTAAATTGGGCTCAAACTTTTCATCCTCCTGCCTCAGGCTCCTAGAGTAGAGTTCTGGGATTATAGGTGTGTGCTGCTATGCCTAGCTCAACAGGGACTTAAGTGCTGTGAATATCTATTCAGTCATCTTGGTTCTGCCTGGATTAGATAAAAATAAGGCAGAATTACTGGGAAGAGGGAAAAACAAACTCACACTGCCAAGGTTGGGAGAAAATTTTCAGGCAGAGACAGGCCGACACAGCCTCCCAACAGACCCCTCCCTGTGAGGCAGCCCCAGTTCCCACCCTGCTCTGCGTTCCACTTTTCACCTTGGAAGTCACTGTGGAGTCCTCCCCTGGGTCCAAGGCTGGTGTCTATGCTCCATCGCTTCCTCACTCAAGGCTTGGGCGCTGCTCTCTGATCCACAGCAGGGTAGACTGGAGGACCAAGAGGGCAGGCAAAAGGTCAAGGTCCTGCAGCCCAGCACAGTGCTCAGGGAGGTGTTGTGTGCAAATCCTACCTGCAGCCTGGAATGCAGTAAATGCTCAGGAAACAGTGCTCAGCTTCCTGCCCCCTTCCTGTCCTATCGCTCTGGCACACACTTCAGGGCTCTGTGTGCTGCACGCCCCAGGGAATCTCACAACAAAGGTTTCCAATTTCCTTCTCAGCTTAGACTATTGAGACAGGACTCGGATGAGCAGGCAAACGTAGCATTTCTCTTGGGAAAATTGGGCAACTCCGTGCAGCTGCTGGGAACCAGCTACTTTTCACAGGATCGGGTTTAAGTCAAACATGAGGCCTCAGCTGCACTTCAGAGCCTGACATGGCAGAGGAAAAGCAAGAGCTCCCAGCACCAAGCAACAAAACTACAACAGATAAAGAAACAAAACCGAAAAGAAATTAACTGAATTAAACTAAATATAAAATCCTCCCTTCCATTGAAGATCAACCTACCACACTGAAGGGCCTTTCCTGAAATGACTCCTTTTTTTAAAAAAAAAAATAAATAACTTTACTATCAAACACACACACATACAAAAATTAAAACCCTTCAAAGAAGAACAATACAAGGGGAAAAAAACTACAGTAATATTCAAATACATCAGAACTCAAACAAAACAAAACTGAAAAGCACTTAAACATTTTTCCATACAACTTAAGAAAGCATCTCAAGCACCAACAAGACACCAGAGGATGTGATTTGTTTCATAAAGATCCCCAAAACCAACACTGAACAAATAATGATCTGGAAAAAACGCCAGTTAGTTAGCAGACTCCACATAAGCCAAGCTTTCCCTAATTTAAATTTTGATGCAGTCATATGACACGAGATGGAAACACAATCCTAGAAATACGTTATTAGGCCATTTCATCCATGTGTATTCTTAATTACACTTTCAGTTTCTCACACTAGAGAAACTATTCGGTATTTACATGTGTGTCCTATTTATTTCACTTAAGAGTATCGCCTCAATATGCATCCATTTAGCTATAAATGTCTGCAGTTTCTCATTCTTTATGGCTGAGTAGTACTCCATTTTAAAAAAAAACCCACATCTTCTTTATCCAGTTTCCAGTTGATGGGCACTTGGGCTGCTTCCAAGCTTTCGCTCTTATGAACTGTGCTGCTATAAACATGGGTGCGGATATATTGCTGTAGTAAGATTCTTTTAATTCTTTTGGAAAGATCCCCAGCAGGGGAATAGCTGGGTCAAATGGGACCTCTAGTCCTAGTTCTTTGAGGTATCTCCATACGGATTTCCACAGTGGTTGTTCCTTTCTCATCACACCCCCACCAGCATTTGTTATTGGTTGATTTCTGAATAGCAGCCATACTTTCTGGGGTGTGAAATGACTCCTTTTGATCCTTATGATAAATATGTTAGTATTCAATTCCCACTTTATAAACTATTCCTCTACAAGGTGCGATCAAAAATACAGTGACTGCTGCTGTCCAGCACCATCCAAAGGAAAGAGAAAGCTCGTAAAGACACGACGCTGTGTCCTCATCACCTTAGTCACCGGATCTGGCACCATGTGACTCCTGGCTCTTCCCCAGAGCCAAAATGACCGTGAAAGGAAAATGTTTTGAATCCATTCAGGACATTGAGGCAGCCAGGACAACGAAGCTAAAGACCCTCAGGAAAGAGGACTCCAGAGCTGCTGCAGGAAGTGGCTAAAACAATGAGACCAATCTGCTCTCAGTAATGGAAATACATTGAGGGGGATTCATGGTAATGTGTTTTGTACCATTAATCGTAGCTTTTGATTGCACCTCATACATAAGAGAAAAAGCGGCTCAGACAGGGCTGTGTAGCACCCAGTTTCCAGCACCCACTATGGTCATGGGCAGTATCCCCCATGACAAGGGCTGACGACCCCACCTGGGTCTCATGGAACACAAGACGTGGCCAGAAAAATGACACAATTGACAACTTTTCACGTACACCACCTGAGTTATCCTTTTTAGCACCATAGTTTCTACTTTGCACATTTAGCAATTATTGAATGAGTATGCTTCAGTGGACTTTCCCGTCAGTCAAGAATCCTGCTGTTCCTCGTCTTTTTCAAATAGGAAAAATGATGCAAACTAGATTATGAAAAGGAGTACAGGGAGGATGCAAAGTGACAGGTAAGAGAGAGGGGAATCTTTAGGACCCACCCATTTTTATACTTGGAGGATTAAAACCTTATAATCCCATCACACAGATAATAAAGAAGTTTATAAATGAATGAACACTATGAGGTTGAAAGGATGCACTGGGCAGAGATGCATGTGAAACAATAAAGTTCTTATCCTCGAATTACTGAATCCTTCCCTCCAGAGGGACAGCAGCAATTTAAAAAATAAGGAATTTCAGTGTAAATCTGAGCTGTCACAGGGCAGGAAATGCAATACAATCTCAGTTGCCCTCTGCATAGGCTTCCTTTCAGACTCACTGCCTGCCCATTCGAATTCGACTTCACATTGGTGACTTAGCCTTCCTTCCTGATGCTGGGGAATACACCCCTGTGTTCTGAGTTCAAATTCTGAATCGGCTACTCCTCAGCTGTTCCCCAGCTTGGCTCCCAGTCTACAGGATGCGCCAGTGGTCACAGTACTCACCTGGAGTCTGTTCTGACGCCCAGGTAGCAAAAGCATGTTGCACCCTCCCAACAGGGCTGGGAAGGGACTTCCTGCTCCTGGCTTCTCCGCATCCCTTTGTGGGTATGCAGCGCCCACCTGGGCTCCTGCCCACTTCCTCAGGGACCTGATTCCTCTCCAAGCTCCCAGATTGCTGCTAGTCTTCACAGGCACTCACATACCTGCAGACTTGAATCAAAGGAGCCCAAGCACAATTGAATCAAAAGCTGTTACAAAGCAGAGGAAAGCAGGGAAGCTCTCTGGAAAGGCACAGGCAAATCCTCAGCATCTAGAATTTCCAGCTGGGGTGACTGCAGGAGCCGGGACCTCTCCCGTCCTCCGCCTGAGTTGGGGCCTTGACCCTGCGATGGACAGGGAGGCAAGCACAGAGCTCCCTGTCCTGATTAAAATGAGATTCGCCATCAGCGACTATGCAAGGAGGCATCGAGGCGCAGAAGCAGGGTGGCTTCTGAGTGGCTTAAGTGCACACTACAAGGGGCTGAAATTGGAGCAATTTGCTGTAATTCAGAAAGAAGGAGTGAATGAATGAAAGCCCTGCAGAAAATTATATATTTCATTTGAAGGTAAGATTGCACATCTCTAATCAAGGCTTAAAAATCTGAATTAGGATAAATTGTGCCATAATTATTTTCTTAGAAGGGAACAAAGTAGTTTCTAAAGCACCCCACATTCCCCCTTTGAAGGTTTCAAAATGAAGACACTCATGTTGTGGCAAATGGATGGCTTTATCTGCCTCTGCCTCGTGAAAACCTGGAGTTCATTTAGCCAGGTACTCA